TTAATGAAAATTAATAAAATTATAGAAAAAAAAATAGTAACAACAATAGATAAACAGAAATATATACATAGATCTTTATACCTAGATATATAGAGAGAAAAAGATATAGATACATATGTACGTATGTATTTGGGATCATACTATCCTGAAGGAGTTTCATGCAACATCTAATACACAAAATTTAATGGAAATGAAAGTTTTATTATATTTATTATGAACAATGTCAACATAAGGGGTAGATATTAAAAAGCAAGTTTCAAAATAGTGTTCTCTGTACGTGAGCTTTCGAGTGGTGCTTCCTTGTCTTTTGTGTTTCACCATAATTTTTAACCTTTTCAATGAAAATTCATTATTTTAGCAAAAAAAAAAAAGAAAATAGTCTGAAACATGCCTTTAAATGTTAGGTGTTAACTTCGTTGTGCTCTAATGGTGGAGTGGTGGTGGTCGTGAATAACTTGACTCAACCTCTACCCTAGTTTTACAATTCCAGCTACAGACACCTACATATGGTGGTAGTTTAGAGGCCAAGGTGTAGTATATTATAGGAAGGAGTCAAAGGTATAAAAAAACAAAACAAAACAAAACCCCTGAAATTATAGTTTGAGATTATTCTAATCAGTATTTTAAATACCTGGTCTGAAATTAGAAAAGCACTTTGGTTAATTTAACACTTATACTTTCATATATTCTGCCAAGAAAACAAACAAGATTCATCCTGGAGAGGGTTAACCCAGGCTGCTCCTTGGAGGCAAGGATTCTAGGGCTTCATCTGACATACTTTGCACATGTTGTAAGGAGGGACAGGTCCTTCGAGAGGGACATCATACTTGGGAGGGTGGAGGGACGGTGCAGGAGAGGAAAACCCTCTATGAGGTGGACTGATTCAGTGACTGGGTAATCAGGATGGGTGTGTCAGAGGCAGTGTGACTGATACAGGACAGAGCAGGGTTTAGGGCTGCTGTACACAGGGTCGCTATGAGTCGCAAGCGACTCGATGGCACACAACAACAACAACAACATACTTTCATATTCAAAGACTCAACTGAAAAGCTGTTCTGTCCTTTGAACACTACACTATTTTAAAAAAATGCCAAAACTCCACAAACCACATGATTTCTAACAGAAGTTTAACAGTAAGGAGGTTGGTTCCTTCTCACTCCCACCCCAGAACAATGGTCTTAAGAAAAGTCACCAAGTTTTTTTAAAGTTCTATGACTTTATGTAATTTCATTATTCCTTTTACTTTAGGAGACAGAGTAGCATAGCTGCACTTTGGAGGCAATCTGAATTTAAACTGTGGCAAGCCACACTATGAGCTATTCAATCTCAAGGATTCATTCATTCATCTTCTCATCTTTAAAGTAGGTATTATAACATATAAAGATTGTCTAAAAGAAAAAGTACAGTGTTTACTGGTAATACCGTTGCACAACAGACTATAAGGTAGGACAACAAAATATACTTCATAAAGCTAGCTGCAGAACCAAAC